GCACCACTCCCGGCCTGAAAAAAATGCAAAACGGATCGGATCACTTCCAGACAGTCGCGCGATGTAGACAGATGTACAGATAGACAGATGGACCAGTTAACATGGACCAACAATCTCACCAGTGTTGAAGGATAACCACGGTTGCCTTTTTTGCAATACATGCGTTCCTGTCTTCCGTCTTTGAATTATTGCAAGTGCGAACTGAGCAAAACAAAATCCTTACTGTACGGGAGAAACCGTACTACCATTCAGCCCCGTAACATTCTTTCCATAGGGGAAACTTTGGTCGCTCTGCGGGACGGGATAAAATTATCCGATCGGAATAAAATTTTGCACACATCCTTGTGTCATAGTATCGACAAGATTTCCGACCCGGCCCGACGAATCCGACAAACTTTTCCAAAATGGACCACCCTAATGCACACAGACACACATCTTTTTTTTCCATTTCACCCTACAGCCGTCCCGAGCGACATAGGACCAGTCTGTGGGCTGCAGGTCGCCCACGATCGACTGGTTGGCTACCCCTGTTTTAACAATTAAAGCTGAATATTGCCCACCCGAGCAGCATGAAGCCAACGGGTTAGCTGGCACATTCGCCTCATAGGCTCCAGCTTCCCTGTGTGGAGTTTGCATGTTTCTTGGCTTCAGCTTGCCACATACCACACCATCCCATGACCAAACCCAGAAAACAGGTGATTAGTCATTACCTGAGCCCTGAGCAACTGTGATGTAATTTTCAGTTGACAGCATGTGGCGAAATGGGCATATCTGAGATGGATGAAAAAAAGGGAGGATTTTTCTCATTTCATACTCCGTACACGCAATATTAATCAGAATGCCAGGTTTAGACAAGTGTGGGTACAGAGAAAATGTTTGACTTGACTTCCACTTAAGGGTGTATCTTGCCTCTCCCCCCAAAACAGCTGGGTTAGGCTGCAGCGCGCCCACGATTTGGTGAATGTCTGAATTTTGCACACTGAGTTGATGGATGTTGTGATCAGCACATATAGATTTACAAAAAAAAATGTTTGTGTGTACATAATGAGAATATCTATGTGTTTGAA